CTTGGCTGATAAGAACAGGTTCCAAACATGCCAAATTCAAGGATTAAAAAAAATAATAATAATAAAATCAAGCACGCAATGAGCATATTTCACAATGAAAATAGTATCTTTACATTTAGGATCTGGTTTAGAAATAATTTCTGGAGCTTCCTCTTCAGGAACTGCAAGAAAAGGACCGGGTTTTAGCGTACCAAAGTTTTGCTTCAGTAACGCTTTGTTGGAAAACATATTCCCACAATATCATACCTGCTCCTCTCGAGTCCGGATTGCTGCTGCCAATTCTGCCTGTAAAGCTGTGATTGCTTCAGTGTTTTCCTTAACCCAGGGGGAGATGTTTTCCATCAAGTGAGTCTTTTTTTCCTCCTCCATTGGACTAGTCAGGAGTCTCTCAACCATGAAGTTCCTGAACTCCCTAAAGGCTTTGATAAACCCTTTTCTCGCCCAGTCTTCACGGCGCAGAGCCTGGCAAAGCAAAGGGTTGGTCAGTAAGTGTCTCAGGACATTTCTAACAGAACGTTTCAGACGTTGCTCCAGCAAGCAGAGACGGCCCCGTTGTTCCTCAGCTCTCCTGGTGTCCCCTTCTTCAGAGCTCGCAAGCAGGTGCTCCACTTCGTTTGAAAGCTTTTGGTGCTCGACCAGGACGTTTGTGATCTCAGGTCCCAGCATATCAGCAAACCCGTCCAGAGAGTCGATAATATGTGGGATCAAACGGCTCATCTCCAGCTTGGCAATTGTCTCATCCAAGACGGTGATGATTCTTTCCGTCTCAACGCTACCAGGTCTCACACCGTGTGGATCTAACGTCTTCGCGGCACCTGGTGGGATCACTGCCTTCCCTGGAGTCGCCATGCGCTTCACCAGGGGCTTGTTTCTTTGCTTCCAAGACGGTGCCTGGAGCACAGCTGGATCCCCTGCCGCCATGGCTTCGGTTCAACGCTGGTGAGCGGAGCGCTTTGAGCTCTAGCAAGGACACGGCTGCTCTTACACAAGGGACGCGGCGGCCCAGGGGCAATCCCGGGGCTCGCGGGTATCTCGGGGGTCGGCTCTCGGGGGATGCCGGTCCCGGGCTGCCTCCAGTCCCTGCAGCTCGCTCCGACTCCGGCCGGGCCCCGCTCGCCACTGGCCCCGGCCCACCCGGCCCACCCGCCCGAGTCCTCCGGTTGCTAGGCAACCCA